CTTACCTGGCACAGGAGCGGGGCTGTAACTTGGCGTCTGACTGTTGTCTGCAGATACAACCCACCGGAATGTGCGAGTCTGTCGCCGCCTGTCCACAAACACCTAACCTCGGTCGATTAAAACAGTGTCTGGGTTCCTCTCGGACGTAGGTTCGAACCCTCGTCACGGCCCTTGTGGATTTGTTCACCCAACCCGGTTTTCTGGCAGCGGTGAATAACTTGATTTGTAACCTGCAGAGGATTACAAAAGTGATAGGATAACGTGTGTAATAGATGTCAAGCACCGTTTAATTACGAAGTGGTTATAGTCTGCATCAAGGAATGTTACATTGTATCAACGTATACACACGCCCGTGGGATAGTACGTGTTCTCTTATCAAGGTGACTGCCTCGGGTTGTTGACTCTATAATGGGTGTTGGTTTGTGGTGAGGGAAGGATGAGGCGGCGCTGACGAACACAACTCATAACTGTGGTCTGGGAGAAAGTTATCTCCAGCTGTGTCATCCTTGCAATGTTGCACACAGCTAGTAGCATCAGACCTCTTGAAAGTTTGTATAATATACATGTATATAATTATATGTATATAATTATATAAATGTATAACTATATACAAGCGCGCATAATTACCCAAGCGCGCACAAATATTCTAACATCACAAACTAAAATATACAAAATGGTTAGTTTCATCTCAGGAGTTATGATGCTGATGAGTTAGCAATGGAATAGTGTTTTTCTAAGACACGGCACACGAAGGTAAGGGTGCACGGTTTATGCAATAACAATAAATTAGTCAGAGGAAAAAACAAGAGGCTGCCTAAGCGACAGGTATGATGAATTTGACATCGGCAAACATGAAAAAAACTAGGTGGAAGCTCCTCGCGAGGCCTAGGAGCGAGAGGAGTTGTTTGTTGTTGTTAAAGATTCGCTACCTGGAACAAAAAGTTCAGTAACACAGGCTATACGAGAGGAGTATCATGCAGACACGTGGGCTCCCTCCGCCGCCCAGGAGCGGGAGGAGCATCATGCAGGCACGTGGGCTCCCTCCGCCGCCTAGGAGCGGGAGGAGCATCATGCAGGCACGTGGGCTCCCTCCGCCGCCTAGGAGCGGGAGGAGCATCATGCAGGCACGTGGGCTCCCTCCGCCGCCTAGGAGCGGGAGGAGCATCATGCAGGCACGTGGGCTCCCTCCGCCGCCTAGGAGCGGGAGGAGCATCATGCAGGCACGTGGGCTCCCTCCGCCGCCTAGGAGCGGGAGGAGCATCATGCAGGCACGTGGGAGGGAGCAGCAGGAGTATCATGCAGGCACGTGGGCTCCCTCCGGCCTCCTCCCATGGCCTACCCGTGGGCCAGGTCGTACCCTGATGGTTTTTCACAGGATGATGAAGTGGTACCTGTTTGACGACCCTGCCTAGATAGATGGCTACCAGCTGTCCTGACTGCGGGTATCACTATCATGACTTCCCACCCTTGGCACTGTGATCCTGGGGAGTATGGTGGTTTGCTCCTTGAGGTAGACCATATTATGTAGAGGGTTAGGGATTTCCCTTGTATAAATTACAAAGTGCCGCAAAAGTAGCTTTCAACCAACCTATCAATACATTGTATTTTGACCTAACTATCCCTAAACTTCCAAATGTTTCTACAAATCATAGTGGCTCGTTAAATTGACGGCTGATTTTTTCTTGTCCTGATTCCCAAACTTCCCCTTTTTGTTTTTCTTCGTAGACGAAGCTATTCTTTTACGATGATAACCAGCATATATATATTTTCTTCTCCTCGAAGGAGAGGGCTAGAGGTCGATTAAACTACTTAGTGTAATGGGTCATTGAGCACTCAGCCATATGTGGTTAGCAGCTAGTCACTACTGCTCGGCTTGAAGTATGTGTGCGTTTGCTCCATCTGTGAGTGTAAAACCCGCACGTCTTTGGGTCATCCAATAAGGTTAGCAGACTTCTAGATGCTACCACTGTTAGGCTTAGACTTTGAAAGTACCTCTGGGAGTTTGTAACTTCTGGTGATGAAGATTTGACTAAATGTAAACTCGGAAGAACTATTCGCATACTTGCGTCATTATATAATGGAATGTGTAAAAATCGCGCCCAGTTGGGTGGGTGTGGAGTAAGACTACATCTATGGTGAGTCAGTTACTAAAGTGCCTTGCATAGTGACTGTTGAGTCTCACTGAATCACTTGTGATGTAAAAAGATTATAGATATATATATGTGTAAATGATTGTATATATATATAATATGTACTTGTGTATAGAACATTATCAATTGTAACTAGCTTCAAAAGATTCACTTGCTTAGCTAAACGAACTATGCGGTTCGGTTCCTGAACCCATTATGTGCCTCTGTAACCCCTTTACACCACGGCCCTCGGGGTGAGTATGGGGTGTATAATAAAATAGAATTGAATTGTTGTAGCCTAGTATTGGCTGGCAGTCTCTTGGGCGTGGCGAACCGGCTTCTACAGCGCTTTGGGTGTTGCATGCGGGGAGTCTATATAATGCCTCTTCTAATTGTAGTGAGCTGCAAGATGTGTGAAGCTTGCGGTCATGTGCAATGTGTTTGCGACAGGTAAAGGGGATAGTGGATAGCTCCCTTGCCCCAGGGTCGATAAGGGAGGAGAATATGTTCTTTCCCTAATTCTGATGCTGTTTATTCAATTTTTGTAAAATTCACACCAATTACTTCCTGTGAATTGAAGAAAAGTTGGGGTTTTCGCATACATATACGCATACAAGGCTTTCCCCTGTGGTGCACTTGTAAAACACTCGCCCGGCGCTTCGTGAGCGCTTTGGCCTGGGTTCGTATCCTGGTTGGGGAGGATTGACTGGGTGCCAAACCTTAACTGTAGCCTCTGTTCACCCAGCAGGGAATGGGTACCTGTGGCGGGTCGTGTTCCGCGAGAATATTAAGATTAGGGACCTGCCCGAAACGCTGTGTGCGCTAGTGGCTTTACAAGAATGCAAGACCTCGTATATATACAGTGTATTTACACAAATAAAACCCTGAATTCGTAACAGCAAAATATGTACACTAATTTAGCATGTGCAGCCGCGGAACTAAAGGTCAAGGGTGGACGCTACTGATGAACGATAAGGACGCAAGGAAGTTTGTCTAAGAGTACAGTAGTGAGTAAATGAAGTATTTTATTATTTTTCTACCACAGACGTGGCCACACATTTACAATGCTAACTAGCATATATACATTTTTCTTCTGTCCTCCATGGACAGGGTGAGAGATTTGTCATACAGTTCAGGGATTTATTAAACAATCAACCACAGAAGGTAATTGTAGTGCTTTTAAAATGCTATGCTAAGCTACATTCGTAAATACAGATTTATGTATGCTACATAGTGTTCGATATTGTGAATGAAGTGAGCTAGAAGAGAGATTTTCACCTTTTTCCAACTCGCACCACACTGAACTGAAATTAAGATACATCATTAAGTTGGGTTAAAAAAAATTGGACCTCAGATCAGTCTCTATGCTAAGAAGTTTACTGCTTCATAAAAATATTTATTGCGCCTATATAGTGGGTTGGCAAATACAAACTTGCTGTATCCTCCTTTCGTCACACACACACACACACACACACTGTTGCCACGTAATTTTATCTTATTCCATTCACATTAACTCAAACTTCCTTGCATACTTTTCTTGACCTTACATTCCACTGTCGATTGTTATAGTTAATTTAAAAAAAAAGCTTCATCCGCCATTTGCTCAGTATGAAATTCTTTGGGTCTACACTTCTCAGTCATCTTAGAAGTAAATCTTAGAAGATTTACTGGCTGCTTTCACACTTGCTCTAATTGTCTTGTGCTAATACAACACTGCCGACAAATCAGGGTTCGGCTTGACTCGCAAAATTTCTCCACCATATTAGTTCTTGGTTGTTGCCTCAAGATTGATGCAAAGATGTCTTAATAAACATGGGGGCACGGCCGTTGACCACCTGCCCCATGCTACCATATCTTTTATAATATATACACTTGGCAGTATATAATTACTCTCTCACAGGAAATCCCTGGGATTAAATTCCCATTTTTAAATTGTTTATAATGTGTTGTGCATAACAATCGTGTGATGATCCTGCACCTTAAATAATGGGCAGGGGCCATAATGTGGGTAGGGAGGCCGCCCCCCCCCCCCCTGTTGTGGCCATAATGTGCGTAGGGAGGCCGTCCCCCCCCCCTTGTGGCCATAACGTGGTTAGGGAGTGCCCCCCCCCCAAATGACCATCATGCAAGTAAGGGGGGGGGGGGTCCCTACTCATGATAACCTGATTTTTTCAAGCTTTATTTTTAAAGTTTAGCAGAGTTCTGGCATTTACAACTTTGGCATGTAGGCAGTTCCATGAGTTTATAACTAGATGAAAAAGCATCTTGTTTTCAGTTGCATACCATGACTTGTTGAACTTGAAACCATTGCTGCTTGTTTGTTACATCTGACCTTTTGAAGAATTTGTCTGGATCCTCCTCCTCCTAAATTGTTCTGTATTTTGAATGTTTGTTTTGATCAGCCCTATCATGTCTGGTTTGCAATGGCCCTAAAAATATCTTGGTATAAGAGTTGACTTGTACGGTACTTGATTTAGTTGTATATTATACTGTTCTTGACTACAGTTGTACATCGTACTGTATGGTACTTGACTGTGCTGCAGATGCTTTAATTCTGTCCAAAATGTTCTTGCTGGATCAGTAATATTCATTAATCTTAGTGGTGTCTGAAGGATGCAACAACTTCTTCATTCTTCAGCTTGTGTAAAGTTTTGTTTACAGCATCAACATTACCTTAGATTTCTTTGTCATCTTTCTTTGGCTGATGTGTAGTTTGGTAATCAATAATAAGCTACAAAATGTTGTGGTCATGAACAGTAGCCTATTCAGTACCAGTACTGTACTATTTTTTTAGATGTCCAAAATGCTGCATGTACTTGGTCGTGTAATACTGTACTGTATATTAAAAGTAGGCTTTTTCTTTTATGGTAGGTGGCAGTACCTGATGTATTGGAAGCTGCTAAGGATGCAGATGTGCTCATTTTTGTCATCCCTCACCAGTTCATCAAGCGCATTTGTCAGCCTCTGGTAGGGAACCTAAAACCTACCACTGTGGGCATCTCTCTTATTAAGGTGAGTTTTGATGTAAATGTCCAAAATTGCATGAACGTGTCACATAATTCTAATTGGCAAGATATTATTCAAATTGACGAATCGATTTAAATGCATAGTTTAGTGTGCCTCCAATATTGTACTTTACTAACTGTGCTGCTTTGTACAATACTTGAGAATTGCATTATTGTTTAGTACTGCTGTAGTATGGTTGTAAAATGCACAATTGCATTGATACTTTTATGCAGTTTCCAGTTAACCAGCTTAATGATTCACCAGTGAGCATATGCAAAATAGGAGCTAGGCTGTATAGAATATACTTCTTACCAGTTACATTGGAGTTCAAAAAAAAATTTAAGCTGAACACTTTTTTTTATAGACAAGGAATCTTTTGATTTTTGCCAACATTTTTGTTTAATTTCCTTAAAAGATGATGCCAATTTGCATGTTAACATTACTTATATTTGTTTCGTGAATTGCAGGGTTTTGATTCAAAGGAGGGAGGTGGCCTCACTCTAATTTCACACCTCATTCAGGAAACTGTAAATATTCCAGTGTCTGTCCTCATGGGGGCCAACTTGGCTGGAGAAGTTGCTGATGAAAAGTTTTGTGAAACTACGATAGGTATGTATGTTGACTCAAATACTGTACTGTATTAATTTGTTCAGCTGTTGTCCTAATCGGTTTTAATTTTATTCGGAAAGAGACTGAATGGCTTCATTATGCACCCAAATTTACCCAAAAGTGACCAATTCAGATTAAGTCGATGGATAAGAAGTTGGTAGCATGTATTAGGGTCCCCCGTATCTTAGTGTTCCCGAGACTTTTTTTCCAGCTTTGTTTTAAACTGTGTCTTTGTATTTACAGCTTTAGTGGATTGCAAATGTATCCCTTTATTAGCAAAAAGAATTGCCTGTTGTCTGTCCTACAGTGTGGCTCATTGAGCTTTCAAGGTCGAATTCGGTTCTTCCAGGTAAAGTGTGTAGTGTTGGTCTCGAGGCTATTTACAACCTTGGTTGATGTACACAGTTAAAGGGTTATTGTTGGACAATTGCCAATACTGTACCTAACCCGAAACCAAACTTTTCGACCATTTCCACTTGAACTTTTCCCCACATTTCTCTAACACGTTTAATATGTATTAATAGGTTGTCGTGACATGGAAGTTGGACGGGTGTACAGAGACCTTATTCAAACTGATTACTTCAGAGTAGTAGTAGTTGAAGATGTTGAAGCCGTTGAAGTCTGTGGAGCTCTTAAGGTGAGCTTTATTAGTGTTTAGTATTTGGCTAATTTATTTATTTGGTTTGGCTAATTTGACTAATTTAATATTTAAGTGTTGACAGTATACTGTAGTACTAGATAATAAAGCCTTAATTTTGTATTACAGAATATTGTAGCGACAGGTGCTGGGTTTGTCGATGGCCTTGGGTACGGTGACAACACAAAGGCTGCCATTATAAGACTAGGTCTGATGGAAATGATAAAGTTCTGTGAGGTGAGAAATTTATAAAATGACTACGGTATTGCAGAGTATCCTTTTACATATTATACAAATAATTTTTAAATTGCCTATTTAATATTGTTAAATCATTAGAATCATTTTCACACTATTTACAACAGTGTGAACATTTATTTTTATCACGTTATTTGCAATACTAGGCTCGCCAAAGTAAAATTACTATAGTAATACAAACTGTACTAAATTGTAAACTATTCTTTTTTAACTTGGTTTACATTTTAGTTAATTTTTAACTATTGTAAACTGTCAAGCAGTTGAAACTTTTGTACTTAAATTTCTCGTGAAATGTTGTGAAACCATAAGATGCAAAAACTCTACCACAGAAATCCAAATTCTTTGGCATTCTTGTGTAACTTGTAAACTAAAACTATTAGTTCGGCAGAGAGCGTGTCGTGGGCTAAAAGTACAGCAAAATAATTATATACTAATAATTCTTTACATATAAATAACCATTTAGCAAAAAAATATAGTTTAACAAAATACCTGAAAATTATATAACAAATATTTTTATTTGCAGGTTTTCTATCCAGGGTCAAAATTAGGAACATTTTTTGAGAGTTGTGGTGTTGCTGATCTCATTACCACTTGCTATGGCGGCAGAAACAGAAAAGTTGCAGAAGCATTTGTTAAAACAGGCAAGGTAAATTTTTGCAAACAAATTATGGGATAATTTTTTTTTTTTACTTGCTGTACATTTGGGGCTCAATTCAGTGATGCAATATGCCTAAATGCTCATTGAACATGAATGTTGAAGCACGATTACTCAAACTGGTCACTTCAAGAATGGATGATGATCAGTAGGCTGTGCAGGACTCTGCAAATGTTGTCACTTAATGCAACTTCTCAAATGTGTGAAAATTTATCTGGAAATCCAGCAAAATTTGCAGTTGTAACTTAGTTTGTTTACATCTTCAATTTTGAGGAACTTGTCCCTCTTTTTGGATATTGTACAATAAGAAATATGGAAATAATGAATTAATTCAGTACTGATATTTTTCAATAAATATTGTATCAGTCTACGAATATTTTAGCCTATATATAATACTTCAAATTATCTTGGTATTTCAGTCTATTTTGGAACTAGAAAAGGAAATGCTGAATGGCCAGAAGCTACAAGGACCTTACACGGCAGTAGAAGTAAATTATATGCTCAAAGATAAAAATATGGAAGAAAGGTAGGTCTGGACTTGAATAAAGGTTATTAATATTTATAGGTTACAAACTCAGTACAGCTTGTACAGACTTTGAATTCCAGTGTCACTTTCATTATCCAGATCAAGAGGGCATGGGGTGAAGATAACTACTGTAGTTAGTACAGTACAACCACAACTGGATGAACTATGAGACAGTCCAATTCGATGCATTGAGAGATTCATTGCAACCGGAGATGCCTCATAGATGCATTTCCCTCTCCCTATGAGCTAATTTAAATTGGTGAAATTTTTTAAACCTATAATGTGATGGCTATGAAGTGAACACATCTGTAAAGAAATTTAACCACATCTAGCTTATTTTTCATGTCCCCCAGCTTCAAAACTAATTTTTTTAAAGTAGCAGGGCCATGCGTGAATGAACAAAAACCTTTACCATCTCAAAATGAAAAGAAACCAGACAACTTGGTTTTTAAATAGCCTTTAACTTTCAAGAGGCTCCAAAAGTTTCTTATAATGGTGCATCAATCTACAAAAATAATTAAAAGCATGATTGAAGCCATAGTAAGTTACCATTCATACCCTAATATATCTTACTTGTTCGTGTACTAGTTACACTAAATAGTGTCCTGGACTGCTATCAATTGCCCCGAGAATTTTTTACATGGTAATTATATATCTTTTTTTATCTTCTGTTTTCCAGTGATGCAAGGTTGTTCTTTAAATTTCCCCTTGTAACGAGCATCTTGTATTTGTGACTAGTTTCATGGCATACCTCTGCACTTTCTCCCACTTAATTTGTTTTGGTGTAGTAGTGTATGATTTGTGGTTGACTGGGGGTTGTATGCAGCCGATTAGCTGTAGCTGACCTAGTCGCATTCCACCATCTATTTTCTTCAAAATTTAATGTTTGTGGATGGAGGGAAGTAAACCAAAAAAAAAAACTGCAATACCCACTGTAGAGAAATGGTCTGGCTCTGGTCTCTGGTAGGTCTAAGAGGACTCCTGCAATTGATGTGACCTAGTAGAGAGGAGCTCTCTTGGCAAGATAGCTTTAGGAAGAAACTGGGCCTTTACCAAAAAAGAGGCATTTTATTATATTCAATGCTTTATTTTTTTATTCAGTAATGTTAATTTTTTAAGCAAGCAATTTTTCTCTATTGATGTGCTGTTAGATTACTTAAGTCACTAAAGGGTCCAGTACAGAAATGGAGCATTAACTGTGTAGACATCAGTAACATCCTGTTCTTGCCTAGAGTTGCCTTTCTCCACATCAGGCTGGGTTCAACCCAAGTGGCAGTGATAAGAGCTTACAGTGGACCCTCGCCAACATATGGTTACATCTTTGTTTATGGTTACATCTGATTATGATCGAGGAAGATTGGAGCAAGGGTCGGTACCAGTGACCCCTGACACACTGGTGCAAAGCAGTACATAAACAAACCATACATGTGTGCACAAAGTTGCACATATATCAGTTGCCATGTTTAGTTTCATGAATTTCTCAAAGAGCATTGGTTTGTTTGGCGATGCTTTTATTTCATGTGTTTTGCAGGCCAGATTGCAGGGCTTATATTGTTCAGGACCTTCAACCTGGGAAAGCCACTGTGAGCTCTACAGAGTAGCATTTAATTATATTAAATACAGTACACTTTAAATTTCTCCCCATCTCATTTTGAACTGTTAAAATACTTTGTTGGCACTTATTTTATATGCACTGATAAGCTTCATTTTTTTTTTTTTCCCAGATTTCCTCTCTTCACAGCTATTCACCAGATTTGTTTGGGTGATCTTCCTCCTTCAGGGATGATTGACTGTATTCGAAACCATCCTGAACATATGTAAGTGCACCTCAAATATCTCTACTTTTTTTTTTCATACTTCAAGTAGTTATGTGCATTTGCTTCGGATTGTATCATTTGAGTATTTGTAGTCATCAGTACTGTCAAACTAATAGAAATATACATTTAATAAAATGCAACTACTAACAGGCATGATTAGGCTGCAGTAAAAAAAAAAATCCTAATTTTTTGCACATGGTAATAAAATAAAATTGGTATGGATTGATCTGTGCGACTCTTGAAAGCTGGGTATTGATGTGAATTTCAAAGTTGTATCTACTGCTGTGTGATCGTAGTGTCTAGTATGCTGGTAAAAACTCTCTAAAGAATTATGAATGTACATGTAATATTTAGTGGTAAATGATCCGAGGTCCGAACATCGTCATTCTTCAGGTTGACAATGCAGCCAAGATGCCACAAAGGTGCACGCATCTCCTATATGCATTTCTTTGTTTTCTCTCGACATATTTTTCTGTTGGCGTAACTCTTGTACCTGCGTGATCATAGCTGACGGGCTTTTCCGCTCGTCTTGTGCTAGACAATTCTTCCTTACTGTACCTCATCAGCATGAAGTATGGACTCTATGTATATAGTAGTACAGTAATGTACTTTGTAGTATATTTAATAATTAATGTATAGTTTGGTGGTTAAAAAAATACCATTTAAAGCACAATCTTTAATCTGATTTTTTTTGTCACCATTGACATTAATTCTTGAAGCTGATGCTAGTTCGTTAATGTAGCATGTACTTTATTTTTTTTTTTTTTCCCCCACTCGGTCACTAGTGTTTCCCCTTAAAGTGTCTTTGGGTTCTCACTTGCACTCTACCTGAATTACGTTATGGCATGACAGTATATTACTGTATATAAAGCGTGCAGTACAAATTATTGTATGTTCACTGCAGGAATGCATTTTTATTGCTTCTTTATTACAGTTTAAAATGTGTGTATGGTGATTCCATTTTTGGCACAAGGTTTTCTTGAATGTGCTACTGCAGGTAAATATTTATAGGTACTGTATTAACAATTTACAACTGTGTTGTACTGTATTCTAAAGATGTGTGTTGTTGTTTTTTGCTGTATTGTGCCTTAAATGTGTAAATTGAGTGGATGTAAAGTTGTATTTTGCCTTTTTTATAGCTTTGGTAAATGCTCTTACCTAAATGTTAAAATAATTGATAATTTGGCAGTACAGTGAAGTCTCCCTCAATGATCTTCCCTAAATATCTTGTAATTATATAATAATTAATAATGTACTGAATAAAGAGGTATGTGTAATAAATAAGTGTTGGGGGACAGGCAGCCAAATTATATATGTACAGTATACATGTTTAGCCCTGGGTTTGTATCCTAGCCAGGGGGAGTTGACTAGGTGCCAGTCCTTAACTATACATCTTTGTTCACACAGCAGTGAATGGGTACCTGATGGTTAAACGATTTGGTAGGTCGTATTCCAGGGAAAAAAAGATTAGGGACCTGCCCGGAACGCTGTGCTTGCTAGTAATTACCAAAGTGTAGTTACAGGATGAGAGCTACGCTGGTAGTGTCCCATCTTCCCAGCACTGTCGTGTAACACTTTGAAATTACCAACGGTTTTAGCCTCCACCACCTCCCCAACTTGTTCCAACCGTGTACTACTGTTTGCAAAAGTGATTTTTCTTATTTCTTCGGCAGCTTTGTTTACTTAAATCTATGACCTGTTGTTCTTGAAGTTCCAGGTCTTGAATTCTTCTTCTTGTACAAGGGGCTATTTACCCTTGAGGCTTTACAAGAATGTAAGAACTGTGTGTAATTACCTAAGTGTAGTTACAGGATGAGAGCTACGCTCGTGGTGTCCCATTTACCCAGCACTGTCATATGACGCTTTGAAACTACTGACGGTTTTGGCCTCCATCACCTTCTCAATTAACTTGTTCCAACCGTCTACCACTGTGAAAGTGAATTTTCTGATTTCTTCTGCATCTTTATTTCTTTTGCATCTTTTGTGTACTCGCCTAGTTGTGCTTGCGGGGGTTGAGCTCTGGCTCTTTGGTCCCGCCTCTCAACCGTGTGTGTGTGTGTGTGTGTGTGTGTGTGTGTGTGTTAGGTTTAACATTATTATTCATTTTTTTTTAAGGGTGCCGGTAGTAGTCGGGTTCATTCTGGATGCACAATTGACAAGTCCGGGTTCAAATAAAGGGCGTGACAAATGGTTGGGCACATTTCCTTTCACCTAATTCCTCTATTCCCCTAGCAGTAAATGTAGGTACTCAGGAGTTAGTTGGCTTGTTGTGGGGTGGCATCCTGGGCGGGGTCTGTAATTCGGCCTGGGGGGGGGGGCATGAGGGGGCGGGCTTCGGTAAAAGCCTAACTTGTATGAACACTCGGGCTTCCTTTTCTCAAACGCAAAAATTATTATATAGAGGTCCTCCCCAAGGTAAATATTGCTCGCACTATTTTCCACCAACCATTATCATTTTTCCTTCAAGTGTGCTATCAATAATTGGTTTGTGTTGTATGTTGATATCTGAGCACTATCTGTAGGCATTTGCAGTGGGAGGGAGGTAGGTTGGCAGTGATGCAAGACGACAATACATCTTCCTCTGTACTTTGATACGGATTAACAATGACCCACTTCTCACCCTTATTTTATTACATGGGGGGGGTGGGGAATATATTTGATAGTGTAGATATGTGTACATGTTTATAATTTAACACTTTTATTTTATGTTAATAAAAAACTATGGAATTAATTTCTTTAATCCATGCAGTGTAAAAATTCCATTAAATGATAGGTTTCAGTCCCAATTAAATCATTGGAGGCAGACTTCACTGTTCAGTACTTGCTTAAGTAACTTTACGTAAAAGTATTCTTTTCAGATAAAGAAGTTTTAAGTTTTTGCAGAATTTCTGTTCGCCAGATTTTTTATCGTATAGCTCCACCATTTAGGGCAGACTACAGACGCTGTACAGTGTTTAGTTACACAGTAAAAGTTAAAAATAGATTAGTACTGTAATTAGCATAGCATATTAGAACAAGTGTAGTCTTGAACACTGTTCTGTGGAGAGGGTGGGGGGTTAACATGCGTGTTTATAGATTTTAATACTTTGTGTATACTATTTATTTCGATTTTTGTATATTTGGGGTCAGCATTTAATATTTAGTTTTTGAATAGCTTCTGAAAAAATATGAAATGCAAATTTAATTGTAAGATCTATAATGCACATAATTGGAAAAACTTGCATTTGTCTTATGGTTAATAAAATATGGGCAGGGGTGATATTAGAGATTTAGGCATGGAATGAGGTACAGTAGCTCTAATAACATTAGATTGTACCGAGAAGGAACTTAAAGGTAAGAATACTAGAGTACGGTAAAAATAAAGCCTATAACCAATAAAAGACGATAAACAGTTTGTGACTGAAAGGAAAAAATGCTTAAATTTACATGCCTTTATACAGTATGAAATGTTGTATATTATCACCTGTCCAAGATGAGACACATGTAGTAATTCAATCACTTTGGTCACCATTCAACTCGCCAGTTTAAAACAAAATTTGAAATCATAAATACCCTAATCATAAGTACTAGTGCTTTATTTTAAGAATATAATAATGAAGGCGTGATTAAATTAACCAGTGTACACAAGGACTAACATAAAAGGAACAAATGGACTTGTTTAAATACAATACTGTACTATCCAAAGCAAGATATAAGTATATTGTCCTCATTCTGTGCATTTAAGGTTAATAGCTTGAAGCTCAGTTGAGGAATAAGTCTCTGGTCTTATCAACTGCATGATTGGTATTTTTTACTTTTATAAAGCACTGACATCATTTATTTAATTTCTATAATCTGCCGGCCAAGTAGATGGCAGTTATTTATTAACGTTACACGAGGCTTTCCACCCGACTCATTTTAACCCTACTGCCGTTGGTTAATATTTCAAAAGAAATCGGGAGCATGCATTACATTTCTTTAAATATGTAACTGAAATAAAATGAGCTTTGTACACAAAACAAGGTAGTCTACATGAAAATTGTCTAACTTTATTATAACATGTGTAGTTTGATTACATGTTCTGCACTTGGTATATTATGGAGGCATCTTCCTTGTTTTCCATCTTCAGAGTTTCCACCTTTTCCCAAAGTAATGCTTCCACCATTATCTTTTGTATAGTTTGAGATATTTATAGAAACTGTAGTGTGAAATGCTTCCTAGTGCCTTTCAATCATTAACTGTGTGGGAAAAAAAATACCTGGTCTTCTGTGCACTGTTAAAAATCTCTTTAAAAGTGTGGTTCTCTCGTTTGCATTTTTGGCTTAAAGGTTTTTTCTTTGTATTTTATCAACTTTAATTGGATTATAATATCCTTTCCTTTGTTTACATATTTGAGCATATTATAGTACTTTGAGTCTTGTATATGATTACCTGTGTGTGGTTATGGAAGTAGATCTTTGCATTTTGTTGGCTTAAAATTATTACTTTATAACATGGAGTTTAGAGATTTTTAAGTAGTTTGGCATGTACTCTTAAAGTAGATATACTAAATTTGACAAATTTTTATTTAGATTTTAAGTACAATGATGGAGAATTTAAAAACTAAAGCTTAAAATGTCAACTAATCTTAAATACTTTTTGAGGTAATTGATTTGTATTTAAAGAAACTGAGGCAACTTGACAGTCAAAATATACTGAAATTTCCGAAGCTGAGAATATTAAGCTATAAGTAAAGTTTGCAAGTTTTAGACTACTGTACTCCAATTGGACAGTGTAGCAAGAAAGGATACGAGAGTATAATCACATGAAACCCGAGTTAAGAAATACGATGCTCGTTGTAAGTTAGAGTATTGCAGTTAAATGTTGCACTCTGAGCCGGCCCCTTGGTTGTTACCCCATTTTAAAGCCTTACTCCATATAAACCATTGGGTAGAGGAAGGGGTCCCTAATGGTGCAGGGATCCCATAAAGGGGCACCCTGGTTACCAGTGGAAGTAAGGGAGGTACCCCAAAAGATGGTTGTATTGTACCACTATGAATGAGCTCAATGTCAAATGCTGTCAAGGAGGGGACCCAACCAGGAGCAGGTCCCACTGGGACAAGAGCCCACAATGCCCCACAGACTTGAAACACCAGATGCCAGGGCTGTACTTGGCATGTGCGACCTAGAGCCATTGCAGCCCCGAAAAGGATCGGTGAGGACTGCTATGGGCAAAACAAAGACACCCTTTATAAACAGGGTTAAACTAGCCAGGGATAATCCACAATGGAAAAATGCAGTAGAAACAATGTGCATTAAAGCTTACCCCCCCCCCCCCCTCCCATGCACAGAGAAATGTCTAGGAAAATACCAATCCTTCAAATTCAAAAATTCAAAATTCAAAACTTATTAACTTGTCAACCTTTTACAGAATAGGTGAGAACAGGTGGACCATCTTTAGAACAACTGAGAGGTCTTGGCTCAGTGTGAAGGTTAAAACTGTTTAAATTAGTTGACTTGACTCCATGAGGTGGTATGCATAGCATATTGAGGTAGGGAAGAGCACAGGTTTACCCCCAAGCATATTTAGCTCCTCGAGTCAGTTTTGGACATCATGTTGGTCCATATATTTTGTAGCCCTTGGCCTAAAGTTCAACTGACAAATATACCTGTGTGTGTGTGTGTTGTAGAATTAGTCGCATACTAAAAGGTAGCTTTAAGTGGGTTAACCTAAATTATCAGCACCTGTGCTTAGGCCTTCTCCTCATCCTATATAAACAGTTAAATATTGATCTGGAAAAAATTCTCTTGAATAATGTGGGGACCATTTGACAAGCAGTTGCTTTCCTGTCCCTGTCAAGGCCACTAGAGATGATCAGATAAATTCAGGTAAATAAATCCCCCCCCCCCCATCCTGTCTCTAAACATGTAATACTGTAATGACCATTTAAATTTAACCTTTGCAGCTATTCCCTATTTCTGTGTGTAATATTGTGAACCTTGTAGTGTCTGAGACTGGTTGTGTGGTGGTGTCCCATCCCTCCTTTCCCATGCACATGACCCACTCACCCCATTCACCATGGAATCGACTACTTCCATTACCATTTTCACGTCTCCCCCCCCCTCCCAAATCCTCTCCTCGTCTCCATCCTACTCTATCCTACCCTTGAAGTGTGGCAGCAAGCAACCCATCCTCCTGAAATGATAGTACAGTACTTCTAGTAACTATTTTGTCGAAAGTACCAATATGTAGTGATGGGACACCAATATGATAATTAACTTTTTGTACTCGGTCCAGAAAAAAAAACTAAAAACCAGGCCTAAATATTCCTAGGCCTATTATAGCACACATGTATGTTCTATATTAGACCTAAGATAGCATGTATTAGGCCTAAGATTACTAGGAGAGGCAAGGTTAGATTCTGTTTGTTGTTGTAAAGATTTTCATTTGGCCAAATTCAGAAATACAAGTCAATCTTTTGGTGGTCCATCACTACACATTGATACTATAAGTACTTTTATTTAGTAGAATGGGCTGCAGCAAGTAGATATGGGTAATATTAGTTATTACAAATATCATGGATATTTTCCTGTTCATGTATTTATGTATTGTATGGTTTGAGCTTACCCTTTCATCTTTTCCATTACTAGGCCCCCAAACTGCTATAAAATAACGATGAAACCAGGTTTGCTTGGTTAAGACGAGGAGCCTTTGAGGAAACACGTCACTGTTGTGCTCTTGTTGGCCCCACACACACACACCAAGTCTGGTAGCTTGAATTTGAGTTTGTGCTTTGTGAAAATATTATGTTTATGCTATGCTCTTGGTATAAAGTATATGCTTGCTTGACATCTCTCTGCTTGTGTTTACTCCCAATGTGTTTGCCCTGCCAAATGTAATATACATATTTAAATATGAATCCTATGGTAGAAACTATGCAGGTTTCTGTCATGATCATCCTTCATGTTGATGCGGGTTTCTACGTAAATAACATCGCGTATGTGCACTCGTCACTATCAGTAGTACCGTGTATCTAGTGACCTGGATAGTTCAGAGCAGATGTTAACTTTATTTAATGAACCACAATCATATGAGGCTTTCTATCAAATTTTTTTTTCTTTACTAAATAGTTTTTCAGATGTTCTTAAGTTTGTGAAAAACTTTCTTGGCTACTCTAGGTTTTGGAATTATTTGAAGGCTATTTTCATCTTCATCAAATTGCTGTACTTAATACTATAAATTTAAAATAGCTAAATTTCCTCGGTTTATGTAATTGATCATATAAATATGTGCTTCTTTGCAGTGTCTGGAAGTTATAATGTTTCGTTGTACTGTATTTGCACATTCGTGAGCATAATTATTTTATGACAGTAAGGGGAAGTGGGAATTTTGCTTGCTATAAAATACGAAGTTGAAAATTATTTGTTGGTTGTTAAATTGTCTCTCGCTATTCCCCTAAATCAAAATAATCGCTGCCATTCCTGCCACCACCTGTAGATGGCAGTTGCCTTTCATTTTTATTTTTCTTATATTATAAGGGGGCTGCTTTAGTTCAGTATAGAATTGGTAAGGATTTGCATGCTATATATCTCGGACTGGTCCTGGTAATCAAAAGGTAGCAGTTAATCTGTAGTTCCATGTGATGCTATCTGTTAATCTTTTTGCAGTCATCCCGTGTCATGAATACATTACGGTGTCATGAGTACTGTGGTTTGTGCATTCTTTCAGCAACAGACTGTAACTGCACCATCAACATCGCCAGTCCCAGGCAACAGTGCTGTGTGAACCCACTGTTAAACGGCATCATCCAAATCCTCGTGTATGGTACTTAAAAGGTTTCTGTGTTTGTCGCTTCTTGTGACCATTGCTCATCTGTTTCCCTTGCAATTGTCAAAATTGTACTACTGTAAAAATTTAGTACAATCGTACTAAATGCTATATTCCTTTCCTAGCCGTTTGCCTTCCCAGCCTCGATCATGTTTCTCTAACAACTCTGCCTTCTTACCCATGACAAGGAAGTTCCACTTAACCCTTGCCTGTTGTACCTCCCCTCAAGGGTGTTGTCTTGACGGAGTGAAGGGGGCTCTTGTGAAACTTATAGAATGTCCAAATTTTCCTTATGATTGTAGATCTTGCTTTCCCCGATGTCCTTTTGAGTCGTTTCTTCCTCGGTAAGATCCTTGGTAAGTCTGATGCCTTTGATATTTGCTCATCTTGCTTATTTTTTGCTATAGTATTGGCATCTTGAGGGGTATTAAGGATCTTTCGAGTATACTGTGACAGACAGTTTCTCTCCCGCCTTGGTGCTTTTTGATAATTACTTGCCTGTTGTTCGCATGCTACTCTTGCCTAATGACATGGCTTCAACTTGGAGAATAATGATGTATCCAAACAGTGAAAATGCTTGAATATTGTTACTGTACTCAAAAGGAACACACACACACAGGTACGCATGCCTTCACATTTGGTCTGAATAACAAAAGTCACAAACTTGTGTACCATTTAAAGTACAGCACAAGCTTGGTACACAATTTTATTAAATAAAATTAATTTACATTAAAGAACAAAATTTGCATACGTTTTTAAATTATAGGTACCTAAATCTAGTTATTCAATGCAAATGCTGTAGTTAATAAACTAGAAAGTGAAAAATAGTAAACATCGAAGGGGAACATTACACATAGTATCTGCTGTGTACTGCAGTGTTGAAGAAACCCTGCTACTGGTGTTGATAGATGCTGGCTGAGCCTGCATCCCAGATAATTTCTACGGGTCACCACACCAGTAAAGAAGCAGATGTTTATTTCTGCTTTTCGTTACATTTTGCATCTTGGATCTTGTATATTTTTGTTACTTTTTGAGAATGGACAGGCTAAGGAGTAAATTGATAACCACACATTAGGGGGTTTAGTTTGAGACCATTTTTGTCATCTTTCTTCATTCACCCTTATTTTGTTAACCTGAATCCTATAAGGAAATGTAAATTGTTATACAGGAAGTGATTACATTAATTTTAAATTACTGTATGTACAGCATATCAAAGGAAGTCATGGGTGTACTATGTATAGATTTTTTTAAAGTATTACTTTTTTATAACTTCAAGGTTGGTTGATGCATGTTAATCCCGAGGCCATTGCACTAGTAGTCATTTGCCCATTTTAGTTTTCTATTTTTTATATAAATGCAAATAGTTATAATTAAATTCATTTTTTTTTTTTGGACAAATGGCCATTTCATGCATACTGTGGCATCCATGGTGATATTTAGCACCCTCTGATTATTCTGCACATTTGATTGTGCTACAAAGCCTTCCTGGTTTGGTGCCATCTTTTGCTAATTACTTAATTCCATGCATACTGTAGATGCAAGAATAGGTGTAACTGCATACTAGGCTTGTATCTAGGCTTCCCCTCTTTCCCAGGGTTGAATGACTCTAGGATGCAACCCTACAACAAGCCGACTAATTTTTCGGTACTTATTCACTGCTAGGTGGACAGGGCCTTAAGTGATGGGAAATGCGCCCAGTCATTTGGTTTCTCCTGGGATTCGAACCCAAAATTCTTGATTGTGGATAGAGAATGAACCCAACTATACGACCAGGACCTTACAGTACTGCCTGGCCCCTACAATTATAATGCATCTATTTGGATGTAATGTTAGGTAATTACATAATAAGCAATTCAAAATGAAAGAACTAAGTGTAGTTAAAAGATGAGCACTGCGCTCATTGTGTTCTGTCTTCCCAGCATTGTCGTATAAAGCTTTGAATATATACATACTGGCAGTTTTGGCCTGATGAGGTTATCATGTACTAGTGACTTGCAATTGTTGAATCCTTATATTCAATCGCAGGTAGAAAAGACACATTTCTGGATGACATTTGCTAATGCAGCTGTAGCAACCTACTCATTTTCCCATGAAACGTCCTATGAGCTGTGGCAAGAGCAGAGTTAAATGTTGTATAGGTGTGCATATTACATTTGTAGATTTATATACAGTACTCGGTCTTAATTATGTTTACATATTTATTAAATACTAACAATGCATTATGTAAACCAAGTCAAGCCAAGAACTTAAAATCGTCTAAATTGATCATTAGTCTTCACCTCTACACCACGAGTCGGCAAATTGTGTGTCTAGTCTTCCAGTGCCATACTGGTCTCCTAGCACACGTCAACTCTTCAGCTCGGCTAGTGTGTACATACTGTACTGCGTAAACAGAAGTTTTTTCCGTGCACAGGCGAGGTGACGATTTTGACTAACTGCACATTGAGGGGGTTAAATATTTTCCACTAGTTTCCAAAGTATATGTTCTCAAAAGGTTAAGTAATGTATATTTAGTGTGTAGTCATCCTGCATAGTTTCTGCTGGTACCGATATGTTGTACTGTAGTACATTGGTTGTGATCTGGGAACACATTGTGGAGGAAGTTTAAAACATGATTTAATTTTCTAACACTTATCATTATTGTAATCCCAAACTCTACCACAAGCCCATTTAAAAAAAAGCATTGATTTATAAGTGCTTGTTATTAGCTTTGAAATATACATTTTGCTTTATTATATACAATGCTATTTTTTATAACTAGTTTAATCTGGGATCAGTTCAACTAATATAGGATGGGGGGGTGCAAAATGTCTCCATGCTTTGAAACTTTAAGGCACATTTTTTAATATAGCAGAATAAGGCTAATAATCTTGTAGCCCCCAATACTTGACACTGTTGGTGGTCAAACATACTAGTGTAATCTGGTAATTTTTTGGAGGGTTCCAAGTCTCTAAGTATAGTACAGTATCAAATATCAGTTGCCGTCATGCAGAAAAAACTTATCAAAACACTTATTGCAGTCTTCCAAAGATAAAAGTTTCAAGAAACTTAACAAGTGTGGGAAAGTAATGATCATGCAGCTTGTGCAGTGGAAGTATTGTATGGGAGGATTCCATGGTAAATGGAAATGTTGGTCTTGCATGTCATATTGCCACAGTAATGAATAATGATGAAACTCTTGTTAGCTTCATGGAAAAACTGGTATTTGCAAGTCTAATGAATGGCTTGTTTAGAGCATTGTCTTGTATCTGAAAAGCCTTCCCGGTTTGGTGCCTTCTTTTGATAATTACTTACTTACTTACTTGTATCTGAAATAATAATAAAAAGTAAGGTTTACAATATAGTATACTATAGTGACCTTATTTTAATAATAGTACAGTATTTGTTTATGGGAGGGCTCTTCGTGGCTCCCTGGCAAGCTCCACCCAATTCAATCCACACAGGCCCTTGTGAGTAATGTTTACATACCTGGGGACCAAAGGCCAAAACAGTCTCCTGAAGAGGTGCAAGGAGCAGGGTGTTGTAGATATGGTAACAGAGGAGGCTGCCACAAAGGTGGACAAACCATAACCTTCAAACAGCAAGGCAAAGTATAGAGAATGGGACAGCAAAGCCATGTGATTCATGAACCACTTGGTTGTGAAGCAGTTCTCTTGTTAGTACCACCTGTGTACCATCAGGGAACTGTGCACCTGGGCTGTTTTAAGTATTTAACATTTAGTGAGTGGCACCTGTGCTTGGTGTTCTTGCTTCATGTACCCTTTGGGACCAGGTATGCACTTGGCAGTTTTAAGCTGCAAGTTTGAAGAATGTCTCTTGGTTTGAATATACAGGTATTCTTGCTGCCTCTGTCACATCACCTGTTTGGTGGGGAATACATTATACAGGTACCTTGAAGCCTGCAACATTCATGGTCACTGGGTCTCTGTTTCAGCAGTCTGA